CCCGTAATCGCCACGCTGGGCAGGCGGGTTGGCGATCGCAGAACGTAGGTTAATTCACTGATGACGCTGCTGCCTGTCACCAGTGAGATTTACCTCCCCTACGTCGGTCGGTCGGTTTGCCAGAACCTCGTCTTTTGGTTAACAGGGTGCACCACGTGAAGGTGAGGTTGGCTTGGGTTCTTGCAGGTCTATTTAGAACCCCTTACACCCTTTTTATTGCAGTTCGTATTCAATTATTTAAAAAAAACAGATTTCGTCATTTTTCTTTCATTTAAAATGCTTATGGAATAATAATCCTCATGATTAACCCTTTCGACGGTTATCATTAAATACATGTGTTTTTCGTTTCACATTTCACGAGTTCGATTCCCGGTTTTGGCACGCGATTTTTTTAAAAGTGTGATTGCAGTTCTACTTATTATTAAAAATAAAATTGTCTTTTTCTCTTTCGTTGAATTTTAATCTCAACTCATTTTCAATCAAAACCTCCTAAAACAGTGTTAAAATTACTAAATTAATAAATAAAAAATCACGCGCAAAGCTCACTGTAGGTATTTTATTCAATTTTTTACTGTTCGTGTAAATTTTAATTTTATGTATTTATACCATTTTGTTCGCCAGCTTCTCAATTAATAGTGTGAAAAAATAAAGGCACGCTTTTATTAACTTCACTAGTAAACCAAAAATAAACAAAATATTCTCTCTGTTTACTTTAGGGCTTTATAGTGCCATGTTTATAGTTTATTTTACAACTGTAAAGTTTATTTTTACATCTATCTATATATATAAAACTCAAAGGTGACTGACTGACAGTGATCTATCAACGCACAGCCCAAACCACTGGACGGATCGGCCTGAAATTTAGCATGCAGGTAGGTGTTATGACGTAGGCATCCGCTAAGAAAGGATATTGATCAATTCTACCCCCAAGGGGATAAAATAGGGAATGAAAGTTTGTATGAAACTTTGTCAATTTTAAACCGATCGGGCTGAGACTTTGCATGCAGGTATAAGAAGAATCATAGATGAATGTCATTGTGTATAATACAAGCCTGAGAACAAAAACTGTAGCCTACACTTCAGCTCTACACCGAAGCGAAGCGATTCTAGTATATATATACTAGCATATATATATTTATATATATATGCATATAACTAAAAAAGCTTAGGGATATATATATTGCAATATTAATCAAATTAATTAATATATTATGTGATTCATAATGTTTAACAATTCAGTTAAAATTTAATAATGAAGCGCCCCACGCTTTTTTAATTTTATATATATATGTGTTAAAATATACTTTAAATATGGATAAAGTAAACAGAGAGAATATTATGTTTTTGCTCGTATTTAAACTGCTTTCGGATATAATTCATCATGCAAGTCGATCAATCAAAGCTAGTTAACGGAATTATGTCTATATCTGTGATTAATTTAATGATAGTAGTTCCTCTACTAGTATCTAGTTGTTAACAACGAACAAATAAATGATCAAAATAGACAGACAGACATGTGATCTACCATAAGATTCGGGTATGTTAAGGCATGAGCACAAGTCAGACATAATCAATTGTTTAAACAAAAAATGCAAAAAAAGATTCATAAATGGACCAAGTTACTTGGTGCATAACGTAGCGACATCATTAATCATCAAAAAACTGAAAAAATATTTTTTCCAGAAGAGGCTGTTCAAGAGCCAAAAAGAGTATATTTGTGAGGTTATCACAGAGATGTGGCATAAAAAGTTTTGCACTAATTGGTAAATTTTTAAGCAAATTTAAAATTGAAACCACGCTTGAAATTGGAGTAAAGCTAAGAGAATATTAAACATTTATGTTTTCTGCGCTTTTTTACTATTCTTTTATAATTTAAAGCCTAATTTTAAGCTTAGGGATAACTGTCTACCTACCAATACATTATTGCTTCGTTGATTGTCAGCCTGTCTCCTCTTTTTGCTTCAATGTGGTATTTCCATGAGTTTCTATCTAGTTGCTTATCAATGTAGGTATATAACCATGGTGTTCTAAGACAGACCAGCTCCACTAAGTGGCCTTATTGGATAGATAATAACCTCTCTATGATGTGAAAGTTGTATTGATTTGGTGGCATTAGATAGCTCCCTAGACGTTTTCAACTATGACCCAATTTCATCTGAATATGCTGTTACTGTGTTAGGTGCTACGTTAGGATCTGTATTACAGAATAGTATTGTTGTATCGTCAACATCGGATGTAATCACGACTTCTTCGATCGTAAATAAAGTAATCTGTATTATGTATAATGAAGGGCTCAAATCTGATCCCCAAGAGACTCCAGCGTATATTTGACAAACGTCTGACAATTCATCTCCGCATTTATTCTGTAACATGTAGTTACGCAAATAAGAATATAAGATACTTGGAGAGCATAATAGCATTATCAGAAAGTAGGTCTAAACCCAATATTAAAATATACGTGAAGCTCTGGAACGTGATTCATCAATAGAGGCAGCAATAAAAAAAACCAGTGTTATTTTACTGTGGTATTTGTGACGAGGTTTAATTTTTCCTGTTTAATTATTCATGCATAATAATGTTATAATTAATTTTTTGTGCTGAATAATTACTAATATGCATTAACAAGTCTGACCTAACACAATTTTTGATCCGGTTGTAGAGTACAAGGTATTGTTTCTTTACAGTAAGGCAAATTTTACCAAAATGATTTTAAAATAAATATCAATTTAGTACTTTTATTATATCTTTTAAAAATATTAATCTATGACATAAACTGCCTAACTCGTATTTTGTTAAATCTCTCTTATATAAAAATACAATTTGAATACATCAAAACTGAAGTATTGTGAGAACAATCAAATAATAAACTACAGCAAAAAATATGTTAAAGACTCCCAAGGGTTCGAAAAACTAGATGTCGATAATCTCCAAACCGAATTCTCGACCGCAAACTTCTATTTAAAAGCAATAAAAATAAATGGCTCTCATTAAATTCGAGTGGTGTGTTCCATTGTCGCATGAAAGGGCCTGGCGTCTTCGAAGATACTAATGACCGCGCATTAGTAAACTGTCACAACACATCAAAAGGACACACGCCTAAGGATTTTAGTGTACTCGAAAAAAAGGAGAAAAACGTTATTGATCGCTTGCAATTTGTTAATTCCTTTCATAACACCGCGAACGTTCGCCACTTTAAGAATAATTCTACTGCACTGTTGTTTTGATGCGCCAAAGACTGAATTAATGTAGTCATATTAATCTTAAGGAGATTTGAAGTGTTCTCGTATTCATCAATTTTGGCCGCCTTTTATGTTTCTTTTCTTGGGTTTTTCAGTTACAAACAGTTTTTTAATGCAACAGCTGTAGCAACAATGACCAACTGTTATGATTACCGATTGCCTTAAAATTCGCCAGCTTCGCAATATGCATAATACTAAAGTATCTACTTTGAAAAAGTATTAAAATAGTTTTTATTTGATTTGGCTGAGTTAGGCTAAGTTTATTTTTTTAAGACGTAATAACTAGCAATTGAATGCTTAAAAATATAATTCAATGCTTTGTTTAGAGTATTTGGTCTTTTGCCGCAGTTATAAAAAATATCCTTTGCCCGCTCGCACCAAAATTCTTTAATTAAAATAAATGCTGATGGCCTCTATTTGACTTAAAACAATTGAACAAAAATTTCATGATGTGAAACTGTATTAAGCCTTAATTTGATGCAAGTGTCCCTTGTTATTTTGCACGCAAACTTATACTTAACTACTACTAATATAAAGTGTAATATATTATATAAATGCAAATTTTTTTAAAACTTAAATATAAGCCAAACAACAATGCTTTACCAGAAAACAATAAATCAGCTCTCAGATATATTTTATCAGTATTAATATAGAGGTAATAATAGGTATCATAATTAAGGATTAGCACGTTTTTTTCGTTCGTCATGCGTCACGGGCTTGAAATATTAACAAAAAGAGTCTAGTCGAAGTATTCGAAAAATTGACTCATTAATGAAAACTCATTATAAACACGTTTTTGTGGTAAAAGCGTGTTTATAATGAGTTCATATCCTACTCTACCGGTTTAAACTTTGGAAATGGTTGCTATGGAATTAATTTAAAAAACCGCAAAAATACTAGGGATGTCGAAAGTTGAAAAAAATATCGATATATCGATATTTAAAAAAATATCAATATCGGCTTCGATATATCGCGAAAAAAACATCGATATATCGATATATCGGACCAATTTTCAATAATAATGGAACGAAAATTATCTCCCTAAAAATAGACCCTATTTTTGAATGATGAAATAGACAATACTAAATATAGCACAGATCATAGATATGTTGAATATCATTAATCTGAGATCCAGTTACGATTTTTCCAGATACGAATTTAGTTAGATCGTGATTATGCCGCTAATAATTAAAAAAATATCGTTTTTGATACGAATTTCGATATTGGTTATTTTGTATCGATGTATCGATATATCGAATCAAAATATATCGGAAAAAATATCGATATATCGAACAAAAAATATCGATATATCGATACATCGATATATTTTCAACAAGCCTAAAAAATACCTAACTCTTAATATAACAAAGGTTTTTGCATTACCTAAATGTTGGCACATAGTAAAACTTATTTATTTTTTTCATTTACCTACAGATCTTATCAAATGTCTATTTATCGCTTTTTTTTACAGAACGGTCTTGGCGATATGACTTGAAATAATAGAACTTCCTTTATTATATAAACATTAAAGAATTTAGGTTTCATTAAATCGCTTCTTGATTTATCATTGACCTTTTGTTAGTATAAATTATTTTTATATTACTACTAGTATTGCAATCTTTCAGTTACTACTCGTATTATATTCAAATTACTGTATTATCAAACCATCATCTTCATACTAAGCTATGCTCCAGACACCTCGCTTTGGTACCTCGATTGATTGCTTAATAAATATGTTAATGAGAAATACAATATACTCACATGCACCAGCGACGTGGATCTTCTTCATCCACGGATAAATAACCCTGTCAGTATTATCCGAACAAATAGAGGAGTCGTCGTCTTCGACCGGTGGACTATCTAATAGTAACCTCTCATCATCCATTTCCGAAACGGGTGACCCTTCTCTTCCTAACGCATGAAGCTTTCTCCCGGCGGGTGCTGCTTCTTCTATATGCCTTTCAAGTCTTAACCCGAGTTCAGCAAGGCCGGGAGCCACTTCTCCATTATGTGAGGGAACATAGCCGTGGTCTGCGTCTGATGGATGAGACGGCTCCGGTGGCCTTGGAGGTGGAGCCACAGGAGGATGTTGCGGTAATGGGTGATAGTAGCCCCCGTACCCGTAACCTGTGCCGATTTGGACAGGCGCATACTGATGTTGATAGCCATATTGGAGATGTTGGTGCTGGTAGTATTCTCCTGGTGGTATGTAGTCCGCTTGGCTGTACTCTTCGGAAGGCGGGAATTTGGGGTCCGGCTGCGGTTGGTACCCGCCGTTCATGAGGAAGGAGCTCATGATGGGCGTGGTCGAGTCGGCGCATCACCTCGCTCCCACGCCTGCTAATATGGCCGCCATTCACTGACCATAGGGGCACATATGTGTCCTTTTTTTACAAACACTCAATTTTGTTTATTATATATGATACAAAATTGTCTGTACACAACTATCACGTTTCATTTATGTGTAATCAAAATTTTATAAAACATTTTAGTTCTTTAGGATTTTATTCAAAGCTCTTTGAAAATTTATTGTTTTCCCATCTGCACTAAATGCTTATTTTGTAATCATATTAAAAGAAAGTAGTAGTTATATTATATATAATACTTTATTTTTACTCGTTTATAATTACACAAATGTCAGTGTTCACTTGCCGTCATAGTTTGTTGTTTTCAGAGTTTCTTTTGAGAATATGATTTTGTTCCTTAACCACCAAAATTTACGTTTTGTTGGTCACTCACTATTCCCTATATACAAGCACTAAATTAATTAAATGTCCACAAAATCATCACACTAGCACAACATGGATATTGCTACTGAGTTCACAGTTTAAGTACGTTGAAATTATTGCAAAGTCATTTGATTTATCACTTTTTGATATTAAACAAAGGAGTAAAAGGCGCGCTATCCTGCGACGACATTTTGAGACAATATACACTGACTGCCCGGCACGCTAGCGCACTCTGTCACTTTAAGGACCCCTATACATGTTCATCAATTTTTACATACCACCTTCCATTTTTAAGGCGGAGCTGTTCTTATACTGTCTTGTTTGGGTACGTCTCTTCAAATCGGAACCTTATCACTAAACACTTACGTCTCATAATCGCTAACATCCAACGATGCAAGCATGAAACCACAACAATAACGCTCCCCCTTCCACACATAAATAAGCCAATAGGTGCGACTGAAACAGAAACAACAACTACGGCGGAGAACAAAAAGGGGAGGGATATATCCGTCCCGTTTTAGCGTTAGCGTATTTGTGTATGGGTGTAAGAGATGAAAGTTTGGCATGGGTTCATTGCGTAGAGAAGATTAAGAAGCTGCTTCAATAATAATACAGAATGAACATGGTGTCTGCTCCTAACTACACCGGTGTTTTAAATATTTAACATTATAGTTTTCATTAAAGGGCGAGACGTTTAATTATTGTAATGGACACTAAATGCGCATGTTATTTCCAAGTGTCATTTATTAAAATAACACTATACCATTTATGCATATAAAATATATTTTTAACGATTATTTATTTTATATTTAAGGCATATGCACCCACTTCATACCGCAACATACATAGTCAAGTACAACAAACAATAGTTTACTAGTCAATACCTACTTTAACCGGAGCTTTTTGAAAACAAAATTTAGAGTTAAATTACCAAAACAATAAAGAGCGAATAGAAAACTAATGATGATTAAGGACGTAATCAAGATATCAATTACACTATAGATATAATATAATAAATTATAATAATGTAAATACGAAAAAATATTGATATAACTCAACAATCCAATACCAGAATCACACAAGATTGTACTAGGTACTTGTCCAACCACATAATCCGAACTAATCGGCACCAACACCAAATAAAAACAAAGCTCAAATCATGCCTATCATGTAACGTAAGCTTCCATTGCTCACCGACAAGGGAGCCGACTAAGCAGCAAATAAACAAAAATGTCCGGTGATTTTATTGAATTAGGCTATCACAATGGTACGAGCACCTTCCCGTGGACATTTGTGCTGAGTCAGCGCTCCCAAGCGGCTGCAGACACAAAAGGTGGTAACAACCGATCAATGAACGTTTGATCAATAAATAGATGTGTTTCTCTGAATATTTGAATAGTTTAGCCCGCGTACACTCATGCTGTTACTCAATCGGATAAAGAAGAACCCAGAGAAGTCAACGATTATTTCACTATAAACAATGCAAGTGGACACAGTGATCAGTATAAATCCAGCTTACGCATAAGATACTGTGTATAAAATCTAGCAGTTATTGCTTAAATTAAAGTCTTGAGAAGTCATTTTCTGTGTACTATCTTCTAATTTAGTGTACCTACATAAAGAGTGTCCAAAATGAACAAGATTTAGTTATTATTTACTTATTTATGCCAAGTGAGAGTACCACGGCATTACTAAACGTAGATAGTACCTACGCCTAAAGAATTATATATTATTCTTTAAACAATTTATGCCTAAGATTTGTTAATGTATTATTGGTAGTACCTACTTACTTTATTTTCTCCGTAAAACTCGATATCTAAATCACCGTCATCTTAAAGACATTCTATCTTCAACAAAGTTTCTTTTGTAAAGTAACTTTACCCTCCTGTTGTGTTTTTTCTCGTTGCGCTAACTGCCTGGCAGCTCGTTCTATCCAGCACAAACTTAATCCAAGTTTAATGAACAATACGACAGACCCTTAATCAAACTTTGGATATCCTAAGTGACTATGCTACGTCACTTACAACTTTATTTTGTGAAGCTTAAGTTTCAAATTGCGCTCAGCGATTCCATTCAAATAATACAGTACCTTTTAAAGTTAAATTTTGCAATTTAAGAAGAACCTGTTTAGGTGACTTTGATGGCATTATCTGTTTCTTACTCAGTTTTCATGTCCTGTTCTGTAATGATAAAATTTATTATTTATTGATAGTTCTAAGTAAATACTAGTTTTATTCAATAAAGAATATCTGGTACACGAACCAAACCAACTCACATTTTTTTCCTAAAAATAACACTGTTCAGTAGTATAATATAAATCTATCTAATAGTAGATAAGATATTAATAAGGAAAATTAAATATCATATCTAGTATTAGACGTCGAATTCAATTAAAAAGAAACATATTTTTTAAAATATAAATCTACACGATTTCAGAAAAAACCTATTTGTTATTCAAATTCTTATTCACATCAAAAATTTTACTTCTTTCCGCTTATTTTGCAAATATAATGCGCGTTGTCCGTGTTTCGGTTTTTTATTATTTCACTCTTGTTAATTTTCACCCAATTTCTGACTGGATATTTTTTTTATTAAAATGAGGGTTTCGCATCCTTGTTAATGGGATATTGAATTGGTAGGGGATTGCATGCATAGCCAATTTCTATAATGGCGGGTTGCATATCCTATCTTTGTTGCGCCGGCATTTTTTGTGGGCTCCTCCCTTTGCCTGGGGCGACGCAGAAATAAATTTATGAGTTACATATACATAGGCGCCGCCACATATGCTGTTTCTTCTTTCCCAGAATATATAGGAGTAGATTTTTTAAAACTTTTTGTCGCTTCGCGAGAGTAAAAATACCTAGAGGATGTCATCAACGTTTTTGTATTTGCGTCGATATTCATTTATTTGAATTCATATGCTCTCCTTCTTCTTTAAACTAGTCATATTCGGTGTTAGATCTTTATGAAAGGTATTTTGTGTTAACTAAACAAAATCTTTTCTATGACGTTCATAATTCCACACACAATACAGCGTGCGCACTACATGTTGGCATCGGCGAAAGCTTTTCAAAGCCGTGCCTCTGACGCAGCGTCATCGTATGTCAGCTGTTTGACAGCCGACACCCCTCGCTTGACGTCACCCGCCTCAGGGCCTGTGGAGGCGTCTAACAGTTTTGGACGCCTAATCAAAATTTCCGGTGAAAAGATATAAAGTGATGTCTCAAGTTCGTTTTCGATGGTCTACTAAAATATTTAACGTTTTTGGAATTTAGCTCAGTAAATGTTAATGTTTTATGAATATGCCTTTGCGTGAGTTTACTCTGTTTCAAATATTTTGAGGTAAGTAGATTCAAATACGGGTGTATTAAAATTTACGAAACTGTGTTATAGTTTAATTGTTTATTTTGTTTCTTTAATATTAAAGAAACATTTCCACAGGGTTTGGATTAGCGTCAAATATATCAATAATTTCAACAGTATATAATGTCGGTTCTAGTTGTAAATAGCAAACCATAGTCCACCACGGATAAGTCAGCTCATCTACAATAACTACGATATGATAAAGCCTTTTGCTGTCTGAAGAAAAAAGTTAATAACATTCTCAATATATGTTTTCCTGTTACTCCTGAACTTAAAAATATTTTATCTTGTTCCTCTTCTTATGATATTATACACTATGGAATTTATTGCAATAAAAAATAGACCTTTGATATTGACTTCGTGAAAGATAAGACACATGCTTGGCAGCTCGCCAATATCTTTATTCTTTTGGCTCCATAAGTAGAGCTTTATTGATTCCAGACTCGCCTTTGCCTACGTTATCAAGATTTATTAACTTGATGAAAAAGTAACTACAGCAATCTCGATTCGGGTTCCACGTTGTTATTATAATTCCAAATGCTGACATCGTTACACTACGAAGAGATTACTCCAGTTCATACTCGCATTGCCATTTTATGTGTATATGTATGTCTCACAAAAATGTCAAATGTTACAGCGTCGAGGGGAAACGTTTGGTATTCTCAATATTCCAATTGCCCAACGTAATACGTCAAAATATCTCCCAACGCAAAATGAACTTTATGTTGTATACGTCAAAGAGTGTTATGAATTGATGATGAGGCAAATGGTAGGGTGGTTTCCGTCTGGATGAACAGTGTTTCCATTAATCAGTGAGCAGTCGCGACAGTGCAGTGGTGCTGCCGTCGTGGCTCGATTTTTTTCCTCTTTCGCCCTTAGATTGGATATTGGACACAATTTCCTGTGAACACTGTGTAGCTGGGTGGTCGATCAATAGAAAACACTAAATTTGCGCAAATGGAAAAAGATTTCTTTTCATAACTGCCGTATGTACGTTTTGTTCCTGATATTATAAAACACACTCATACGCACCTAGAAATATAACCTGATTGACGTTATATTAATGTTCGCTTACCTAAAGAGATCCGCTTATTTATTATCTAAAATATTGATCATTGTGAAGATAATTGTAATCGTTATTATTACATTTAGGTATTTGAAAGTAGGCTCGAGATAAAAAATCCAAGAAGTAGCTAAAATGTAAATTAAATAATTTGCTTTACTTACTCTAATCTAAAGTTGTCATGCATAATAAACAGAAAACGAGGGTTCTACAAACAAATAAAAAACAAAACACAAACGCCAGCATCAATACAATATCGATCTTCAATCCACTTCCATTCGCCCACAGCCTTATCCACCCTTCTTTCATTTCTATCTGAAAGCCGGCGTCAGGCGAGAATTTGCATTTCAATGCATAATTTAAGTTATGTACCTACTAACTCGCGAGGCTGCGAATAAATATTTCTGTTATCTTTAGCTTCCCCTCACTCTCTTTACACTCCATCCCGCGAATAATCCCTCTGCGAACGGGGATTGAGAAGAGTTTTTTCCCCTCCACCATTTTATATGTCATTGTGTTAGGGTAGAACTGTAAAAAGAATCGAAATGTTCAGTTGACTGAACTTTCAAAGAATCATCAACGGGCGCTGCGTTGTGGCTTGATTATGATTGATTTGTTAAGGTTTCTAGATGTACTGGTGTGGGAGTAGAAGAAAACCTTATCTGCTGTTAACATTCCAGTACAATAGTAAGATCAAGAAAAAGGAACCTAACACACATAGTTATTGGACAAAATTTTAGACCTAAGCATAGACAAAGTAACCACTCCGGACCCAAGGAAAATAAA